ATTTATTATCGTCAAAACATTTGCATGCAAAGATTTTTATAATCGAATTTAGTTATCTAAGCTAGAATTAAATACAACATTTTGTAAAATTTCATTTTTAATGCTTTGTATTAAGTGAATTTTAAGAATACAGACATGAACTCATAAAAATTTGAATAGTGTATTTTTTCACATTAATATTAGAAACAAAATTATCATTAGGTACAGAGAAATTATCAAGATTTTTCAAGGTCTTCAGACTTTAATAAATACGCTGTTTCTGTGACAAATGTATCGAGATATTTAAATGCAAGCACTTTGCAACATACAAAATGTATTTAAAATATCGAATTTTTATTAGTCCTACATTTAATCTAATCCTAAATTTAGGTCATACATTTGTTTAATTTACTTGGTAAATAATGCCATTTACTACAAATTAAGTGACTAGCATGATGATAATTATGCCATCTGCTATAGATTGAACGATTAGCATAATGATAAACAATACTATCTGCTATAAATTAAATTAATAGTATGATTAAGTCATCATATTCATATAATCACTTTTATACTTATAAAAAGATTAAATACATTTACTTTCTATAAATGTATTTACTTGCTTTAGTTTATGATACTTATAATAAATTTTTATCATAAAAGTACTTTTTTAAGCACAGATTTATGAATGATTATAAAATGAAAGAAAAAAAAAAAAGAAAAAAAGAAAAAAAAATATAAAAATATATTTTATAAATAATATATTATAAATATAAATAATATTTTTTATAAAAGAAAAAGAAAACGAAACTTACTTCGAAAATTTTGTTGGCTTGAAATTGTTTCTATGAATCGGGTTTATCCATTTGTTTAACAATTCTTTCTCTTTCGGAAAAGGAGAAAACCTGTACTTTTGGACCATTTGAGTAGTTGCCTTTGCAGTTCGGTACACAGAATGTGTAAACCATATCAAAAATTTGCAAAACCAATTATATGAAAGTGGAATAGTTTTAAAATTTATAAAAAATGAAACAGAATGTTGACTCCTCTTATGAATGCCTAACTGACTGAGTGACCGTCAAAACTCCGGAAATGCACCCTCCACATTCCTGGGTGGGGAGTTTTAAGTAAAATACAATCCCTACTAACATTCACGTCACACCTCCTCCTGGAAAACGTGCTGTGGCCTTGAATCCAAATGGTGCTGGTTTAATGCCTGCATCATCTCAAAGGTGTGTGGCTGGAACTGTAGACGTTTCACCACGCCACACAATTACATGAGGCACACTGAGTTCAATTTCAGAACCTGCATGACACATTGATTTTGTGGGAATTCATAAAAATGTTGTGCGGTTTTTTTTTTTTTTTTTTTTTTTTTTTTTTTTTTTTTAAACCACTTTGACAATTTTCAGTTGGTTGAGGAAGATCTGACCTGGTAATTTTATTTTTAAAAATGAAGGCCATAGTAGTCATCCATCAACTACTGATCTGATCAAGGCTGTGGTTAACAAAAAGTCCATTATATAGTGCTTGCAAATTGGCAAATGCTTTAAATGTTCCTTGAACAGTGGTGCACAATCATCTCATAAAATTGGCTATATCAATAGCTCCTGAAGTATGGATTTCACATAAATTTGCATAAAGCAACCTCCTTATCTCTGTTTCTGCCTGTAATTTGCTGCTCCTACAAAGTAGTAGAGAACTGTTTTAAAAAAAATTAGTTAAGAGGGTTCAAACTTAGATAATTATATGAGAATGTTGTACATAAATGCTCTTGGTTCAACCATAAGGAATAGTAAGGCCTGGTCTTTACATGAAAAAAAATTTTAATATCAATTTGTTGAGATCTATCTGAATATTATTTATTAGGAACTGTTTCTGTTAGATGAGATAATTAATTCAGTATAAATACTGTTGCAATTGGACAAACTGAATGAAGCAATTAGTAAGAAACTACTAGCATTAATGTACAGAAGAAGTACAATTTACATGCATTGCAATGCCAGATCCCATTTGAAATAAATTGTTAATGTTTGATCTAGATGCTGTACCTCATCCTTTGTTATGTGGATATTACCCCCATATGATTATTGTTTATTCCTTTTATTCAAAGCTTAAAAGCTTTAATTCAATAAAGGACATGAACATGCTCTTGGAACAATGTTTTACTGACAAATTGAAACATTTTTGGAAGTATGGCATCATGCGCTTTCTGATGAAATGGAGGAAAGTAACAAAGAAGAATATATTATATAGAACTGAATGATATAGCATAAAATATTTTGTATGCCGTATTTAATAATGAAACGAAAGAAACCTTTTACTAACTTTGTTTCTATTGGTTAAAATCCTTTCATACAGAAAAATTTATGTGATCTATAATTGTGTATATACATGTATTGTAGGAACAAAAAGGGGAACTGCGTATCGTTTCATTTTAAGCAGTATGATTCCCAGAGGGTTGGTTCACCTTATAATAGGACAAATGATTACACCGAAGAGCCATTGCATTATGACCTCCATCTTTAAGAATGGGCTTGCCCAGGAACAAAACACTGCATGTGCACTGCTGATTTTTGAGTATATAAAGCAGCTATGTGTATTCTTTCCAAACATTGTGCAATTAGCGACATAACGGGAAAAGCAGCTGATTTATCGGACTTCAATAAAGGTCAAATCATTATGGCTTGGTGATTTGGAACATTTTCAGAAACGATGCGTTTAATGGGCTGTTCACGTGCAGTTGTTGTGAGCACATATCGAAAGTGGTGTATGGATGGTGAAACGACAAGTTGCCGGCCAGCAGTCTGTCTTCAACGGCACATTGATTACAGAGGAGAGCTGAAATTGCTACGTATTGTTCGCCATAACTGAAGAGCTACAACAGTGGTGACCTAGACAGTGTTTTTCAACACACTGTGCAGAGTACATTGCTGCATATGGGCCTACGCACCCGGAGGCCGAAGCATGTCTTGACACTCATAGCATGTCATCACCAGCTGTATCTGCAGTGGGCCGAGAAAATTCAGAATTGGATATTAGAGGAATGGAAAAAAGTTGTGTGGTGTGACGAGTCACATTAACGGGTGTGTGCTAATATGCCATTTTCCAAACGAAACCTTGTCTCCCGGATGCACAGTTGGACGGAGATACGCCAGTGGGGGGAGTATTATGGTGTGGGCAATATTTTTGTTAGGACCAAAGCATGTTAGGACCCAAAATCTGGACAGTTCCTGACATCTGTGCGCTATGTGAACATCGTTGCAGACCAGGTTCATCCGTTCATGACAACAGTATTTTGATTGGGGATGGTGTTTATCAGCCGAATAATGCACCATGTCATAAGGTTGAATTATCTGGCAGTGGTTCAAGGAACATTCCAGTGACTTTCAAGTCATGTCTTTACCTCCAAATTTACCTAATATTAATCCAATACAGCATTTGTGATCCCACCTGGAAAACAAAATTTGTGCTTCTATGCTACCCCCTTGCAGTGTGGTCCTACATGTTATTAACAGGGTGATCATAATGTAATGGCCTTTCGGTGTATATGCATATATAAGACAATATAATGAATGATAAAGAACCATCTGATGCTTTATGTCCCTGTTTGAGACACCTTTATTTTAATTCTATTTTAATGCTGTTTTATGTTTAATACATGGTTTTACTGCTACATAATATGGTTCTTCCATCTGCACAAAATACTATGCCGATGTTAACATTTTAATATTGCATTTATATATAGAGTACTAATCTCATATGATCCGCTATTGGTTGATCATCGACTCTAAAAAGTCTAGACAAAGCCAGCTAGATTATGAAAAGTTATCCGAATTAAATGTGGTCATTATTTCTTTTTGCAATTGTGCATCATCCATATTCCTTAAACTGAACTAGAATGCTTCTAGTAAGTCTTTAATATAATATATTAAAAAGGCAACAGCCTGAATTTTGTGTATAGCATCAGAATTGAAAAGATGAGAGTTCACTTTGGATAGTACTTTTGCTCAAAACTGGGGGCTTATAGTATACTTTGGTTTCATATTGTAAGGTAAACATCATCCCTCATCTGCCTCAAAAAAAAAAAAAAAAAAAAAAAAAAAAAAAAAAAAAAAAAAAAAAAAAAAAAAAAAAAAAAAAAAAAAAATTCTTTCTCTTCTTTTCTTTTCCCCCCTTTCTTCCTTTCCAGCCCCCCCCCGGTAGCGGAAACTAATTCTTAGCATGCAGCTCCAATCATATCAAAAAAGTTATCAGTTGTTTTATTATTTTCATTACACTTCTTAGCCTTTGTTGCCTTTTTTCTTGGAAAATTTAAGATCCTGCCTTAAAGCTGATTCACAAATAATATCCTTAATCAAGCTCACATTCCCTATGGTGACTGTGGGAGAGTATTTATGAGTGTTATGTGCGCCAATTTTTAAACTTATGGGTATATGTTTTAAAATTTGCTTCTTTTTTTAATATCATGCTTGTATTAATTAAATTTTTTTATGATAAAATTCGTCAAAACTAATTTCTTGATTTGAAACCAGAGAAGAGACATAAATTCCTCATTCTTTATAAAATAATGAGTTCAAATTCATTGAATCCAAAAAGGATTGTCAGTTTTATATATCTAAAAAATTGTACAAAATTTTTTGACAAAAATAAAATGTATACTTTCATATTAGCCATTTTTTAAGTTTCTGACTCGATAATTATAAATTTAAAGAAAATCCTTGATAAGTCTATTACTGCTTATCATCATAATTACGTGTCTCGTTTGATGTTAAAAATTGTGTTTGCACTCAATAACATAGGAATATTTTACTTGCAAATAGTTTTGTATTTTTCTAAGAGTTTTCTTCAAGATTTATACTTGAAAACTTATTTATGTAGTAATGTTTAAGTATTAAATATAACTTTGCAACAAACACTCAAAGTAAATTTTAGTTCTTTTAAACAATATTTAAATGTTTTGATTCCTTTTATTATTTTCCTGATAATTGAAGTGCATTTACTTTTATTTTTCTTTATAGAATGCTCATATGGCAGTCATTGATGGAATTATGTCATTGTTCATAAAAGAAGTGCTTATTCCTGAAAAGATTGTTGATGTTGTCAAGTAAGATAATTGTTTTTATGTTTTGAAAGAGAGAATGTGCGTTTCAATGTATGTGAGCAGTAACATGAAGATTTCAGAATTTTAAAGGAAAAAATCTTTAGTCTCAGCGAAATCCATAAATCCATAGGAAATATTAGCAAGACCACATTCCTGCTTTTGCAAGTACTTTTTCTTATTTGGTAAAAAAGTGCGAGTATTAAAATAAATCATATTTAAGAAATAAAGCTGTTTTTCGGAGGAGGAACAGACATCTTTTAAAACTTTAAACTCTCATAGGATTTCTTTCCATTTGCAGTAAATAATTTAGAATGATGGTCTCAAATTCAAATTGAATGCATGATCTGAAAACAGGCGACAGGCTAAAACTTTTTTAAAAATAAAATCAAATATTTTTTTGTTATAAAACAAAAAACATTTTAAATAAATTTCCTTTACTAAATATTTATCAAATCCTGCACGAACAGCATATTTTTGAGGAACATAACAGCATATTTTTGAGGAACAGATATTGATTTTATTTAACATGCTGAATAGCATGGCTTTTTGGAGTAGTTCATGAAGGGTTGAAGCATAAAAGAAATATTCTGCTCTTCTTCTTCTTTTTTCTTTTTTTTTTTCTTTTCTTTTTTTTTTCTGTGACTGGATAAATGCAGTCATGCTCCTCAGAGGGTCAACACTTCCGTTAATGGTTTAACCATAAATACTGAAAACGCATTGATTGCCAATTTGACTCGACATTCATTAATTGAATTGTATTCTAAGTTGATAGCTTGAAGAATGTGTAATGATAAATTTTAACTTGGATACAATTACAGTACAAAGTCTTTAATCCGGACTCTTCGGGACTTCGGTGATTCCGGATTAGGGGTTTTTACAGATTATAGATCATCAATTTAAATCTGGTAAGATGGCATGCAGAAATTATACAATTAAAAATATGAAAACATTATTTTTGAAATAAAGAGAAATTATGGTCTAAAAGGTATCAAAATTTACAAAAAAAAAAAAAAAAAAAAAAAAAAAAAAAAGGGAGCTTAATATTTATTTGTCTACTTTATTAAACATTTCTTTCAGTGCGCGCATGCGTAAAACATACATTATGCAAAGTCGAAATTAGAAAATTGCAACCAGAAAACTATTTGATGTGTATTCGTGATATTTATAATGATGATGAATTTGATTTAAATCATATCAAAGACGAAGTACATCGAGATGAAACACTACATTTAGTAAGGAATTATAAGCCAAATAAAATTAAAACATCTGCTCTGAAAATGAGGATAGTGCTGACAGATATACTTCCAATTCATTGCACGCAGCCTCCCCCCTCCGCAAAGCAGCGTGAAATTGATAAACAGATTTTGAAATGGTTAGAGAAACAAATCACCTCTCTGTCACTTTCTTCATGCCTTTATCCATTTTTTGCAGCAATTCCACTTTTGTTTGATGGACATCGAAACATGCTTTCACTTTGTAGATCCTTGGCCAGGCTCCAGAATCGGAAACTCTTTTTGATATAATTGAAAGTTCGAGCTTACTTTTCATAAAATTGCTCTAACAGTCTGCAAAAAATAAAAGCCGGATAAAATTAGAAGATTAAAGAACAACACAATCTGCAACATTAACTGAAATAGATAATTAGATAATTTTAGCCTAGCTTATACCGTCCATTATACATTAAACGTGCATGTGTAAACGTATTATGCACATGCGTAAAAGTATTATGCGCATGCATAGACGCATTATGCATTTACGCATGCGCAGAAAGTTTGTAGCTTTGAGGTCCGAATTATAGATCATTCCGGATTATGGACGTCCGGATTAAAGACTTTATACTGTACTTGCAATTATTCATTTCAGTTTTTCATGTATTATTTTGTGAATAGATACTTCAGTTATTGTGAAGTTCGCTTGCTTGTTTACCAAATGTTGTTATCGATATCAAAAATAGTCTTGAATCTTAAAACTCTGGTGGTGTAATTATGTCATAGCATTTAGTAGCTCTGCATATGTGCTTTATATTATTATTTTTCTAATGCAAAAGATATTTGTGTTATTAAATATAGCCAACTTGGATGAAGTATTTAATATTTAATTGTAAGTATTAATATCATTTAACCAAATGCATACATGAATGTTTTCATCTTTTCTTAATAAAAGACTTTTCCCCCCTCCATACAAAAAATTTTTTAATTTAATGCTTGAAGATGCATGCACTTATGTGAAAAACTGTTATGCATACATTTATTTATATGCATATAAAAGTACCTCTGTAACTTAAATCAGTACCTCTGTCCAAATTTGAAACTTATTTTCTTAGTTGTTTCTACACTTTTATAGAAAAATGTAATTCTATTTTTTGCTTCTAAAATTTATTTAAAAGTGAAAAGTATCCTGATCAATAGAACATTTTAGATATATTTTTGTGTGCATTTTGATTTTTCATAGTATAGTTTATGGAATTTTAATAACAAATGTTCTTTTCCTTCTAGAAATAAAACTGATGTTACATGTTTGTAGTGGGACAATGTTTAAAATTTGTTTATGCATGTTCTCAAATTTGTTCACTATTTTAAATCTGCAGGAAGTTTTCATCTGTAAATGTCAACAGGGAAATGCCATCAAATTCTGAGGAAGCTGCTGTGTTATGGATTAACAAATGTTGTCGAGCCCTTGAACAAGAAATCAAATCTGAATGTAATACAGAGGTACTATTTTTCACCTTCTCTCTTTCTCTTTTTTTAAGTAGTTGTAATAATTTAAGACATACCTAATGAAACATGTTTACTGAAATTATATAGCTTTCCAAAAAACATGATAATTCTTTATTTTTATTTTTTTTTTTTTTTTCCCCATGCTGTAAGCAAGCAATTTAAATCTTTGTTCTTCCAAATATATGTCTTTCTCTTCTCCCATTGTTTCAAAATTTTAGTCTACCAAAACAATATGACATTGAAATTTGTTATAATGAATACAATATTTACAAAGGGAAGTGCATGACTTTTGTCCTAAGAGTTTCGTCCATATTCTGCATATTTACTGTAAAACTAAAAACGAGTGTATAAATGAAGAGAAAAAACATGCCTTTTAAAACTGAGGTTAAATTTCGAAGTAACATATATTATTTTAATTCTTTCCGTTGCAGCGCTGATGGTCTAATTGTAATCATAGAGATCTACTAACCAGAAGTTCTCAGTTTGCATCTAGTGGTTATCATTACTTCTTTTCTGTATCACTCTTTTTAATTTTTAAAAAAAGAAATTTATGAAAGCATTATAAAAATTGGCACAAAAGACTTATTTTGTTGTTTATTTTTATTATTTTTTCCTAACTTTATGTTTAAAAAAAACTTTTTCTTATATTTTTCCACAAATTTATATACAGCTGATAAATGATATTTATCTTTAAAATTATCAAAATATAAATACTGGCATTAAATATGTACAAAATGAAGAATAATTTAACACAGGGTTTCTTAAACTGTGGGTCGTGACCCCCCCCAAGGGTCGCAGGATCTGCAGCAGGCACCAAACATTTTAGCAGTTTTGATATTTCTTTAACTTATTATAATACTTTTACTACAATTACCAAATATTTTTACACAATGTATCTGAAAATAGATAAAGATAAGACAATACAGACAAAGAAAAAAACAAAAACATTTCGACGCATTCTTTTTATAATATAAATGTTCATATTCCTTGCTTTGCAGATGATGCTGTCATTTCGTGTGTTACTTATTTAAAATTTTCACATTCTTTTCTGTCTTAAAATTAGAAATTAAAGTTAATGACCTAAAACTGCAATAGTATATTATGGTACAAGTGAAAAAATTGACAGTTTCACCCACGCGTGTGTCGGATTTGCGCAGTACATATTGGGGTCTCACAAAATTTTTGTCAATAATATGGGGTCATGGGTGTCACGAAAAAAATCTCAGTGATAAAAAGGGGTCACGACTGAAAAAAGTTTAAGAAACCCTGATTTAACACAATATCCATTGCACAACTTTGTGAAATACAATGACGAAAAAGGTGTGTTTATATAAAGTTGTAAATGGTGTATGGGAGGGAATTTTAGGAAGATTAATGGAAGTGTGTTTTTTCTTTCAAATATTTAACAGCTGTTATTCAAAAGAAGATTTTAGTTGTGATAAAAAAAATCTTTTATTCGATATAACAAATGCCAATATTTTATACTTTAATTATTTTTATGATAATTGTCATGTGTCAATTAGAAATACATTTATCAGGTGTGACTAAAAAAGTGTAGTCTATTGTGAGCTATTGTAACAGAGTCAGATAGTCAATGCTAAACGTTACAAATAATCATAAATCAATTTCAACAAAATAATGAAGCAAAAATGCCCAGCATACGCTGAAAGATATACATCAAGGATATTTTCGTACATGATGATGCTCGACCACATTTTGCAGGACCTGAGTCGAGGAAACTGTAGAAGCACTTTGCTTTGATGTATTTCCCTATCCACCATATTCACTAGATGTTGCTCCTTCAGATTATTTCCCCGCAACACTGATTTATGCAAAGAGGCTTTTCTGGAAAGAGATTCTGCTCTTATGAAAGTATCAAAAATAGGCTTGGTGATTGAATTGTTTCAAAACAACCAGACTTCTTCCTTTGCAAAATCTGTTTGTTGTCTGATTAATTTGCAAATATTGTAGCTTCTGATGGAAAATATTTTGAATAAATTTTCTTTCTATCTGGGAAAGGGGAAACAGATGTCTTTTATTTGCTCAAAAAGAGGCAGAATCATGTTTATACACTCAACATTAGGACTTAAAGTCATTCCTCACATATTTCCTAATAGCGTAGTAATTATCAGTCTACCTTACAATCGGAAAATCTCTTACAAGATTCTCAATAATGATTGGCAAATTTTCTGCTGCCCCTTCCCCCTAAAAAAGGCAGTGTTAGTTGCAGTGGGGCTAAATCATAGCTTTACCATTTAATTTAGATTAATATTTATCTTTTTTTTATATCACATTAGGTATTAAGAGTGACACTACAAAACAAAAATGTTTGACTACTGCTATTTATGCAGACTTTTCTGTATAGAATCCAGTATTTTGATGCTTTTAACTATTATTATTATTTCATTTAAAAAATGTTGCATCATCAGTGTTCTTGATGGCTCACAAGATGATATATTACCTGATAATTAAGAGAGCTGAAAAAAATCAAATGCAGAATGCTTATTATGATATTAATTAAAATGCAGATATCAGCATTGAATTAATACAAAGTCCAGGATCTGGATGTCGAGTATCTGGAATGATCTAAAATCTGGACCTCAAAGCCACCAACAACTTTTTTAGCTCAAAGGGGCAATTTGTCCAGAAGGGCTATTAATTTTGTTTTAGCATTTTGCATTGGTTCACTATAAACGGCGAATCACTTTTTTAATTGTTGCCACCAAATATTAAAGCCCTGTATTATATTTAAAGAAATTAAATAATAAAGAATCTGCATAAATGTTTGTATGTTTTTTGCATTGTGATAAAACATCAGTAAAAAGAGAACTAAAATTTTCAATAATGTACGTCTCCACTCGAATATGGGCATCTGGAAGCCCAAATTTGGAACTTGTTTCATTATCTATCTCATATTTTGTAAAGCATTTATGAGTTTTTAAGGAACTCAATAATTTCAAGCGAGCAATGGCAACACTGCATGGGGGAGGGGATTATCTCCAACGCGCAAGACTGTGTATCTGAAATTCTAAGATATGCTCTTTTAAATATTTTATGATATTGCTGTTGAATTGAATTTTATAAATTAAGTGTAAAGAACATGATATTTAATCAGTAAAGGTAACACATAAAATATAATAATGCCCCTCTGGCCATAATATAAAATCTGAAGGCATTTAGATTTTTTGGAGGGATATGCTTTACACATGTGCATTTGACCCCCCCCCCCAACGAAAAGTAAAATGTGTGGAGAGTCCGATTATTAATTTCACTTCGGCACTAAATAAAATACCTCGTTAATTGGAAAAACAGTCATTTTAGCATAAATTTGTATGATCAATATTTAGGCTCCATAGATGTGTATCTACTTGGCATACATCTCAATCCTGAAACATTCTACGTCGTTAATTTTACACATACTAATAATATATTTTTTATCTCCGACGCCAACCTGGTGAATCATTATTATAGCCAACCTGGTGAATCATTATTATAGCCAACCTGGTGAATCATTATTATATTTTGCTTTCTTCACTGCATGTTTATCAAAACATGACAACTTGAGTAATGGCTCGTGTTGTGATGCCTAAAGAATTTTTTTATGTTAGTAATTGAATAATAAAAAGTATAAAGCATTTTAAGTTGACATTATGCTTGGTGATGATTACAGATTTAAGTTAAGTGGGCTAAGAAATGTTGATGGGGAAAAATTTAATAAAAATTTCTTTCCATATACCAAAAATAAATTTTGTTAATGATACTCATAGGCCAAAAGGTTACATTTAGTGCTGTTTGAATTAAGAATAATCGATTTGTTATTCATATAAACGCAGAACCAGTGCTAGGGCTCGTATGGCCATACCAGGCGACAGAATTTAGGGTAGATAAGGGAGGTGCTTGGTAGCAGAATTTAGACTCACAGAGACTGCATCAGCTGGTAAGATATCTAGCCCTGGCCCTCAATAAGGCTTAAGTATATGTGTTAATGTATTTATTCAGGACTCGGATGAGCTTTAAGCATGTGCAAGAAATAGACATAAGTATAATAAGTAACTAGTCTAATACAATTCAAGCTTAATTGTGTCAGTGCGCTATACGTAGCATATTCGGAAACTAAGCACCATTTCATTCTAGCGCTGTCGCAGCGCTGTGGTAGGCATCCCGCGCATGCGCACTAGTCTTTCTTGTTCACTGACTTTCAATTGTCGCCATTTTGGGTTCTCTATGTTGTGTTTTCAGTTTGCTGTGCACATTAAAAATGTTTAAGACAATTAGTTCTCCCGCTGACTGTGAGATTCGTGCCGTGATTAAATTTTTGAACGCGAGGAATGTTAAACTGGCCGAAATTTATCGTCAAGCGACAGAAGTTTACGGTGAATACGCGATAAGTGATGGAATGGTGAGAAAGTGGGTAAGAATGTTCAATGTAGGTAGAACAAATGTCCACGCCAAGTGCCCGTTTTAGTGCAAGCCGTGAGAGAGTGGGTGATGACCCGAGACCAGGCCAGGCAAACACTGTCATCACGAGCGATCTCATCGTCAAGGTGGATGACCTAGTGAGAAGTGATCAGCGTGTCACATTGCAAATGTTGGCGGTAAAGGTGGATGTCAGCTATGGAACCGTGTGGGCAATTGTTCACGATAGGTTGCGATATCGGAAGGTGTGTGCCACTTGGGTTCTGAAGCAGCTCAACAACCAGCAAAATAACTGCATACGGGGCTAGCACTGCAACACCTGTTTTGGTATCAGGAAGATCCGCTTTCATGGAGTGGATCGTCACAGGTGATAAGACCTGGTGCCATCACTACGAGCCAGAGACAAAGCGGGACAGCATGAAGTGGAAGCATGTGTCGGCACCTCCCCCTGAAAAGTTCAAAGTCGTGCCGTCAGCAGGCAAAGTGTTGCTCACCGTCTTTTTCGACGTTCAAGGTCCGCTACTTGTGGAATTCCTCGAGCACATAAAAACCATTAACTCCGATGTGTACTGGGAGACACTCCGACGCGTACGCAGGTTCATCAAGAACAAAAGACCGGGGCTACTCACGGAGGGTGTGGTTCTGCTCCATGATAACACGCGTCCACTTGTCTCCAGAGTCATACACATGGAACTAGCCAGGTTCAAGTGGGAGACATTGGACCATCCACCCTACAGTCCGCAACTGTCGCCCTAAGATTTCTATGTGTTTGGTCCACTGAAGAAACATCTGAAAGGGAAGCGCTTTAACTCAAACGATGTACTCAAGGACGCTGTGAAGGACTGGGTCTCGTCACATACACAGGAATTCTGCGAACAAGGAATCCTGCTGCTTGTTCATCAGTGGGATTGTTGTGCTCAGGCCTATGGTGTATATTTGAATAAAGTCTACATTTGTACCCACCGTGTTGTTTCGTACCTTTTCATTTGATCACCCCTTGAAGGTAGAACAAAATCATCATTTACCATATCTTAGCTTGGGCACCACTATAGAGATATTAAATTTTTCAGAGCAAAGAATATGAAAATCAAGTGTCTTGCTGACATTCAAACCACACATCTTCCATTTTCTTGCTGATTAATCTTTTCCATGAGAGTATGCATAAGAGCATGTAATAACTCCCAACCCATTTTTTCCGAACATATTTCTAATACATTTTTTCTACCAGCTGACTAAAATCAGAACTAAGAATACCAGTAATTTCATCCTGAGTTCAATTCCTAATGGTATAATATTGTAACTTATAATGTTGTTTTGGAGGCATTTTATTGTGTTCTGCACATGCAGTATAAATATAAAGTCAGTGAGCCCTTTGCTATTACAGGTTTGTGCGTATCATTGCCTGTTAATTTATCTATGTGCTTATCATTTCTGATTTAAATTTTGGGCATATTTGCATTACATATAAAAATGTACTTGAATGTTCATAATGGGCAGTTTTCTTCATTAGGAAGGAAAAGTACCGAAAATTCCAGTAGTCCAAGAAATCTCAGATATAAGTGATGGTTGCAGTCTTGCTGCTGTCATATGTTATTATTGTCCTAGTTATTTTAGGTGGCAAGGTAATTTAATTATATTTTTATCATTATTATTTAAAAATTATATGAAATGGTATGTATATGTATATTTTTTTCTGCATTGCATATATGCCGGAAAATCTGGCATATATGCAATGTCAAATCCTGCTGTAGTGATCTTCGAGGGACTGGAAGTTTGGTTCATTATTTACATGATATAAAAATGGTTATCTTGCAAAAACGTTAAAATTGAATCAACATTCAGAGGGGGTGATGGATAACATTGTCACATCTTCTAAAGGAAGTAAATAATAAATCTAATTAAAAAAAATAATAAAAAAAACATATTGAGATTTACTTATGCACTCACAATCATCAAATTTGTTGGTTTTTTCTTTTACAGTTTCACTATATGTTAATTATTTTACTCGAAAAGTACTTAATTTGTAATTATTTTATCCATAACTATGTAAAAACACTAAAAAAGAATAAATAAAAAATACTGATGAGTTTACTTAATTTTTTAAACCAAAAATAATATGTAATTTTCTGCTGGTGTAATTTAGATTGCTAGAAATCTGTGGTTACAAAGAAAAGATTCAAAAACTTTTGTAAAGACTACCCCATGTCTTCCAAAAGACCTACAAAATGTAAAACCCTTATTCAAAGGACATAACTTGGAGAGGATTTATACTGAAACAAAACAAGCTAAAATGGATCAAAATTTCATTCTTTTAAAGATGAATAAAGTGTAAGCCTCTGCTCAAAAGATTGACTATGTTCTCTTTCCCTAACCAGTGAAAATTTCAGAATTTCCATCATAGTATCAGCCTTGACTAGACCTACATCTGACAGTTCAGTTGAGGAATTTAAATAGAATCAGAGAAGCCTAAAATTTATTTAACAGAGAAATTTAACAGGTCTGGAACTTTCTGCAAAAGTACGCATACAGCTCTTCTCCATAAAACAGAGCATAATCAATAGTCACCACTTCAAAGTACTAGGAATGTTAAATACAACGCAGTGCAAAGCACATCTAAAGAGCTAAGGTCACAGTATTCTGAATCCTCTGAAGTCAACTCTGAACTATAAACTGAGAAGCCGATGCTGTCTCTGGTCTTACATAGTTTTCCCCTGGCCACTGAGAAGTCTCTATTACCTCCCATTTCTCAAAATTACTAGAAGGTATACACATTTATGTATGAGCGTCAGGTATAGTTACAGATATATATAGAGATTAATTACAGTTATACAAGAGCTTGACCAAATGGTCACCAAGTTTGGCGACTTTTGACGATTTCTCGCCAAATTTGGGGACAAAAATTTGTCACTGAAACCATTACCATTTTTGCATCTTGACAATTTAGTGAGATAGCCATTTACTTCAATGTTATATAGACTTGTTTCTGCAGTCGTATTTTTCCAACCGAGCTTTGTCTCTTCAGACTTTTCATGTTATATTATGAAAAAGATGCTACAATTTCACGTATAATTTCCCTAAAATTATTTACACATATGCAAAATTCGTAACATTCTTCCCAAACACTGTGGTGACCAGAAAAATGCCCACAGAAAAAAAGCTTACAGGAATAATGCTCATAGGAAAAAAGCCCACACAGAAATATGCCCACACAGTAAAAAGGTCACATGGAAAAATGCTCACACGGAAAAAAGCTCACATACATATAAGCTCACATGGAAATAAGCCCACTGATAAATAAAATACGTAGAAATATCCTTACATTAATCAATCAATAATTAATCGATTTGAACATCGTACACCTACTTGAATTTTTCAAAGAAAAATTATTTAAATGATGAAAACAGCTATGGTATATATATATATATATATCAAAAACTGTTTACTTGTGTGTAGATTCAGTTGCTATATAGATTAAACAAGTGAACTGTTTTGAATTAGGAAAAGGAGAGGAGGAGGGAAGAAAATTGAAACAGAATATACAGTGAAAAATTATTACAATTTTAATGTTAAAAAAAATAAAATAATAGTAAATATAAGTTACACATTTTATAATAAACATTTAGAAGAATAGCAAATATAAAATTATTTATTTAAATTACGTAAAATACCTTATTATATGTAAATCATAAATGTATATTTCAAAAAAGTTATAAATAATAAATTACTGAATATTAGCTAATATGTGTAAATATCTAATTTTATCATCAATTTCATCATAGTTTCTTACATGATTTGTGATTACTAACTATAAGTTTTCATATTTGCTTTTTTTTTTGTTTAAACTTCAGTACACCCTGTATTTACAATAGCTAATAATAAATGTTGACAGGCTAAATCTTTTTTCAGTCCATGAAATAAAAACCACATACTGGGATGGCTACAATTAAATAATGAATTTAGTACCTAATGAAAGCTTTCGTAACAATTTATGGTTTTAGGAGATTTTTCTGAGGTTGCTTCATAATGATTCCACACTTCGATTGGAAACTGTGGTCTTCTAGAACTTTTTTGGTTCCAAACTTAAATAACTACATTCAAACATCAATTCCTATAGATATACATCAAAAGTATGCAAAAGTAGAGCAGGAAAAAAACTTAACTATTGGCAGTTACAAGAATAAAAATGTCGTACAGGGGCAGTGGTATAAAATATTATAGTACATTGCAGACTTTTACTATAGTTTTAATTCTTTTATATACTGCCTTTGAAATGGTTAATGTGATCGTATGTCCAATAATTTTTTCAAATGATTAAATCATTTTTTCTTTTAAAACTTAAGTAGGTGTACAATGTTCAGATCGATTAATTATTGATTGATTAATGTAAGAATATTTCTACATATTTTATTTATCAGTGGGCTTATTTCTATGTGAGCATCTATCAATGCGAGCTTTTTTCTGTGTGGTCTTTTTTCCTGTGAGCATTTATACCTGTGAGCATTATTCTTGTGGGCTTTTTCCTAGAGCCAAGACTGCACATCCCGAGCAATGCAATCCTTGGACAGGAAACCATACTTACAACTAAGGAAAATCAATCTAATATGGAAACAGTAATTTCACTAAATGACGTACAGCAAATCAAATACTAAATCAGTAATTAAATTCTAATTTATACATAGATAAGACCATATTCTTAATTTATTATTTACATTATATGCCCTGTGGGGGCTATGCACTATAGCATAATAAGGGGCTAGCCTGTTTAAATGAACGGCTTTAGGCTTGGAATTTGATGAATTATAAAGCTGAACTATGATGCTGTCCAGCCTGTTTAGGACTGTGTAAAGATCACTATAGGGGGACTGTTGTTTAAGAGAACGTCCTTTCTGTCAAATCAGATTCCATAACCATACCTTCTTACATTCGTTCAGTTTATGCCCTGTAGCTGTTATGTTGTATCGCAAATTTCTGTTTTCAGTTATGCATCCAGGAAGCAAAAATGCTCCTCTTGCTGGTACTGTAATATCATTGTCTTGAGCTATTATTTAGTGGACATATTTAACTAAACAGGGTTATGGTTTAAACAGGCAAAGTGCAGTTTTTTATTTTTAGAGTCCAAGGGAAAGTTATATTTCTTTAGAAAGCCTAATCCAGGTATGCAAGGGTCTGTAATATCTGCTACATGTACTATTTGATGGTAGGCCGCCCTTCCAAATGTGATATTAAAGTTTAACTTTCTATCAGTCACAATTTTACTATTGGGTATAATCTCGAGGGTAATGCAGTACAGTATCCTGATGAGTTTACATTCCAGTCGTTGAGCCAGTTTTTTTCTAATGATGGTAACATTGGCTCCTGTATTGATGGTTATATTGAGTGGAGCTCCATTTATATGTTCCATGATAAAAAGTCCATTATTGTTTCCACACATTGTAGAAACCTGAAACACTTCAATATGGAGCTTTTCAATATCTAGCAACCTCCATGCAGTAAGATATCCACTAATTAGTTGTTGGAACATGTTTAGCTCTGAGATGAGGTGTTCTGCAGTTCTTTCATATGTAGTATTGACCACTGCTGATCCTGCACTTCAGGTTCAGCTGTCACTTCTACCTTCCTTAAGGCATTAGCCTGCCTGGTTAAATCATCTAGATGAGCAGTCAGTTGATCCAAGTATGCAACTATTGCTGGATATGACCAGCTCTGAATGAGTGGTAGTCTCTATGGTTTCCTTGCCTGGCTGCCTCGAATTTCATTGCATACACAAAAGTGCTTTTAAAATCATTGATATCTGCCATTCATGTGGCTTTTTCAGGCCTTCGATGAAGTACTGCAGTAACAAGATTTCCTTTATTTTTGTTGGGCAGTTCAGAAAGTCATGATGAGACAACCTTTCAACATCTGCGATGAGCTCCTGGAGTGCTTCTGTGGGAGTTTCTTGGCGAGATTTTAGCTGAAACATACTGTAGTCTTTTAAACACATTGTGTCAAAGTGCAGCTCCAGAGCACTGGATAGAGCATTGAAATGTAACCTCTGGTTTTTAGGCAGTTTGGAGGATATCTGCTGCATCTGGTCTCATAGAAGCAGTCAGGTGGCAGGCCTTAGCATGGGAATCCCATTTATTTGCAGTCATCACTATAGAAAACTGAGTCTTGTACATTTACCAGGAGGTTTTTCCATTATATGTGGATAGCTTTAGAGAGGTATGAGAAGACATGGCTGGGAATTTAAAAGTGCCAGAATTTCTTCCTTCTATAATTATGGATTTCTTTAAGCCAGTTTCTTTGGATACAGCAGAAACTCTGTTGTTTTACAAAGGAAACTCTCTCTCTGATTTTGTTGTTTGATGGCAGAAAACTCTTTCTTCACTTTGTTGTTTGGCCAGCAGAAGCTCTTTCTTCAGTTTCACCAACTTTATTTTCAGCTGTGTCTGTTCTGCCATCCATTGCCTCAAATTTGTTGTCTATTATAGAATTTTTTTTTTTTTTTAATTTCTTCTTCAACATGCTTCAGTTTTTTCTTGAATTGTCTGGATGACCTTTTCCATCTTTTTCGGTTCGCTTTCATCTCTTTTTTAAGAGACTTGATGGCCAGTTCCATCTTTTCTTGGAAAGCAGCAAAGTCTGTCACCAGCTGGCTTAATTCCTCCTTCATAGCTCTTGTCACCAGCATTCAATCTCGCTTCTGAACCCAAAACTGTTGACTATGTATGGGTTCATAATGGATTCAATGCTCACTGAACTGATGATAGCTTGATAAAATTCATTTTCACAAAAGAAATAATTTACAGTTTTGAAACTTTCCACAGAAGTACTCATGCAGCTCTTCTCAGTATGATAGAGTGCAATCAGTAATTACCACTTCAAATTACTAGCGCATTACAAAGCGCATCTAAATAGTAAAGCTCGCAATGCTCTCAATAATTAAATCAACTCTGAACTAAAAATTGAGAAACTGATGTTCTCTCAAATCTTATAGTCTTCTTCTGTTCGCCAAAAAATCTCTAGTACCTTCGCCCCAAAATTACTAGAAGTCATATATGGTTAAAGTTACGTATAAGGGCTGGATACAGTTATAGACACATATAGAGATCAATAACAGTTATGCAGGGACCGATCAAAATGGTTGCCAAGTTTCGTGACTTTTTCTGATTTCTTGCCAACATCGGCAACAAAAATTAGACATCAAAACCACTGCTAGCTTGACAATATCTCACTAATTTAATGAAATAGCTTGAACTGTACTCAGGAGCTGGTTGACTTTGTATTTAATAACAAAGATTATCATCACAAAGATATTTACTTTATTATATATTTATTAATCATTTTGTTGCTGTAGAGGAACGCTCTGGCTCCAAAATATTTTAAATTCTCAATCACAAAGCTGTAAGATCTGTTACATCAAGTACACAAAAGGAAAGAATACTCAATTCAAATTACGTAGATCGAGAGTATAATGTGCTAGCAGCGCCTCCTGTCGGCAGCTCTTAATCACTACTGAACATACTCCCGACCTTGAAACCTTACGGGTTTCAAAATATTACAATTAGTATACACTGTTTTAAAGCACAATATAATAACAAACAATTGTAAGCAATAGCAATACAATGGTTAAATTTTTAAAATACACATTAAATCATAGATGCAATATAAACACTATAAAGAAACACATTACAATATACAACAAATAAATCTAATTACAATTCACAGGAAGAACACAAATGTCTCTCACATTTCTTTTTAACATTTTACCACCTGGTAATACTATGTTAATCACTCAAACTTTTTTATCTTTTCCAAAAATTATTTCTGCAATTCTACCTGTTAACCATTTTGTACTGGGCATATGCTCATCCTTGCCTAATACAAGAGAACCCACCTTAACATTATTTTTAGCAAACATCCATTTACTACGTTGTTGAAGGTTACTTAAATAGTCTCTCTTCCATAACTTCCAAATTGTTGACTATATTCGTTATTTTTTGCCATTTTGAGAGCCTATTTTCTGGTATCTCAACAAGTTGGGGTTCAGCTATTAAAGTTAAAGGCCTCCCTATGAGAAAATGCCCGGGGGACAAGGTTTCAAAATTATCAAATTCGGATGATAAGGGAGTAAGAGGTCTGGAATTTAATACGCTTTCAATTTCTAGAATTACAGTGAGAAATTCTTCAAGAAACAGATGAGCATTGCCAATAATTCGTTTCAAGTGAAACTTAAAAGATTTCACCCCGGCTTCCCAAAGGCCGCCGAAGTTTGGTGATTTAGGAGGGATAAATCCTCCACCCAATGTTTTCACTTAGCAGGTATTTAGTCAGTGTTTCCTCTGGGTGTTTAACCAATTTATGCAATTTTCTCGAGCTCAATGCTTGCACCCACATAATTCTTTGCATTGTTACTGAATAATTTCGCACATTTACCCCTGCGACTATAAAATCTTTTCAAACAAGCTATAAAGGCATCTGAAGTAAGATCAGAGGCGAAAATCTAAATGGATGGCTTTGGTACTCTTAAGCATACAAATAATGCACACATACACTTTGTTTTTGTTTAGTTTTCCCTTACGCTGATTTTTAAATTTAATGTGGAATGGTCCACAAAAATCAGTTCTAAGACATTACTAAATGGGTAAGAAGGTGTTACTCGTTCTTTGGGCAGATCAACCCATTATCTGGAGTCTCAAAAACAGGTTTAATTTTAAAACAAGTTATACATTGAAAAACCAACTTTACGACAAACATTTATGCCATTTAAGACCCAAAATTTTACGTCGAACATGATGCAATAATGCATTTGAACCAACATGCAAAATACTTTAAATGATAATATCTCACAATTATTAAACTTAATGGATGCTTATCTGGCAGAACAAATTGGATTTTTCTTCATATGTACTGAGGTCAGAATGTTTCAGTCTGCCTCCAACCCTTAGAACATTGTCTTTATCTAAATAACAGTTTAAAGATTTTACCTTTGCTGTTGCTGGGCACTGAGGCACCTCTCTCAAGATGTTTTATTTCATCTACAAACTCACCTTGTTGGACTGACCTAAATAAATAGATTTCCGCTCTTCTCAATTCGCTAAATGTAAGGTGACCTGTAAGCTTTTGATTTCTTACATTATTGATAAATCTAAATACATAGCACATAACATGAACAATAGTTAAATAAGTATTACTCAAGGAAAGAATATCATCAACTATAGAACTATGATTTAAAACAGTAAAGGCAATAGGAGAATGATCATTAGAGTCATCAGTTTTCTTTAGTTCATCAGAAAAGTCATCTAATGAAATTAGAATGTCATTATTGTCTACCGAAACATCAGTCTTTTCTCTCAAAAATTGGGGTCCATGCCACCAAATGTCACTGTTCAATAAAATGTCAGCACTGACCCCCCCTGCTGAGGAGATCAGCTGGATTTTGCTTCCCAGGGCAGTGTGCCCAGGCACTGGTATCACTTAAACTCTGTATTTCGTTAACTCTATTGGCAACAAATGATTTCCATCGTTTCGTAAATCCTTTAATCCAATAGAGATTTATTTTTGAATCCGTTCCAAAAGAACAGTAAGGAGGGCTTTTTTTAAATCCACTGTTTTCTTGACTTTACTCGCTAGTCGGGCGGCAAGCAAAGCACCGAGTAATTCTAGTCTAGGTAGAGTGATTTTCTTTAGTGGCGTCACCCGACTCTTGCTAACCAATAAATTCACTTCGATATTATTATACTTCACAACTCTTGCATAAATAGCAGCACCATAAGCCTTTTGGCTAGCGTCGCAGAAGCAGTGTAGTTCTAAGATATCGGTTGACTCTTGTAAATTGAGCACATTTCTAGGAACTCGTAACTCTGAACGATCGGGAACTTCGGAGCACCACTGAAGCCATATTTTTTTGTAGATCTACAGGTATTGCTTCATCCCAAAAAATTTTCTTCATCCATAAGACTTGTAGAATGAACTTTGCACGAATAGTAAACGGCGAAAGCAACCCAAACGGATCAAAAATCCTTCCAATTGTACGTAGTAGGAATCGTTTGGTA